CCCCCCCCCTCCCTCAACACAAATGCTCAACTCAAAACCTTCTTATCTCAATTTTTTTCTGTCAATCCACTTATTGAAGTTTGCAATTAAGAAGTTCAAGGGCACATTTGACCCCTCAAATTTTGTCATGCATCACATACACCTTCACACTTGCCTTTGTCAAAAAAAAATGCCACCATCTTTATTAATGAAAAATACAGCCTTTCAAAGATTCAACATAAAATATGCATGATAAGTGCACTTCAACTCCAAAACAATTCCACTCATCTAGGTACATATAACAGTAAAGAAAAACTCCAAGCCCCAATAATGTGGATTCTACACCTATTTATAAAAACCCATTCAATTTTGAACAAATTGGAATAATTATATACAGTGGATGTTGGGCATGCACGCTGTGTAAAGTAATGTACTGTACTCTACAAGCAATTCCTAGAAGTACAAAATATTCCCCCTCCTCAAAATTGCAGTGCCAGGAACATCCTGGGACTGTAGCATCCTTGATAATATTTTTCTTGCTATGATTCTGGAAGTAAAACCTATTGAAGGTTAAATAGTATTAGTAGTATATAATCAGCTGCTTTTCATATTTATCAATCGATCAGTTGTGTTACTCAAGTTATTCCAGTTATTCCTGCAAGTTGAGTTTGATTGAGTTGTTTATTCAGTCATACTCGTGAAATATATTCACCCCTTTTAAACTAGGAATTTCCTAAAGGGAATTCCCGGTCTTGTCCCAGACTGATTATTGCGTTTCATTTATTTGCACTTGACATCAAATTATATTGGTGACATTTGTCCTCAATAGCACAGGTATCAAAAAGGTATTGTTTTATGTTTTTTGTTGTTGTTGTTGTTGTTGCAAAACAAACAAGAACAACTGACTTTCCTGACAGACACCTTTTGAGCATCTTTGCCAACAACAGCTGCAGAAGCAGCAGCAGCATGACTTTTCTTGTGCTGGGACCGCTTCACTCTGGGCTTCTCAATATCCGATGGGAAACTGCTGCTGCTGGTGTCGCTGTCGTCGTCGACACTGTCACTGATGCTGCTGGCATTCACCCGCCGTCGACGTCGTCGGTGGTGGTGGTGTCGACGAGCCCCGTTCTCGTCGACGTCCTCGTCGTCGTCGCACGAGGAATCCGAGTAATCCGGCAACGGGGTCGGAGGGGTTGGCAACGTGATGTTGGGGTTGATGAGGGAAAACGGGCCGGAAGAACCCGCCGAGGACTTGGAAGAGGAAGTTCCGGTCATGATGGTGGTCGCGGGGTTGTTCCGGGTTTTATTATTGCCCTTGTTGACGTTGGTGTTGGATGACTTCTTTGACGACGATGACGACGACGCTGACGGGACTTGTGGCATCATCAGCTTGTCGACACTTTTGCTCATCATCCGTTTGGCATCTGCTGATGTGCTGGCAGCAGCATTTCCCAGCTGTTGCTGCATATGTTGAAAAAACAAAAACAAAAACAAAAGAGGATGGTGAAAATTGTGACATTTTGAAATTTGAAACCCCAATTTCCGCCAGCAACATCATTTATAATCCAAAATAATAATAAAAATGCATCAGTGATGTTAGGCTTTACTCATTACTGCCCAAGCAGGAAGCTATTTTTGCTGTGACCCCACAGTAGAAGCACACCAGGGTCACAACTGGTGCATATGGGATATTCTGGGGTTACAAGTTCGCACTCCTGTAGAGGAAATTTTGCTACCATTCCAGGGCTACACTTGGTGCACAAATGTGACATAACAGGAGCATCACACAAATCCACCAACTGTAACCTTGGTGTAACTTATTTGTTTACAAATGTGACCCTGAGTAATCCTGGCGTGAACACACAATTGGTGCACATTGGGGATATGCATGTGCAACAAAAGAACTTTGGTACACTTCAGGTGCACAGCAGGGTCACTGTGTAGAATTACAAACAAATCCCCAGGGTGCACAAATTTCCCCACTTGGGTGCTTTCCATTTACGTACTTACCCTTTTGATCTAACTTTATACCAAATTATACCGAGGCGACATCTGTCCCAAATAAGTGATATTGCAAATTTAGTCAGCCATTTCAAAGAAAACAGCGATTTTTCAAGACAGTCTTTTCTTCTGGATTCAACCTCTTGAAGAGAGTGCAGGCATTCAATTTTTTGCTTTAAACAAATGTCATAACAAGATGAGTTTTGATGATTTGCCAAAACTTGTCCCTGGAAGCATCTGTGAGAATCTGGTTTCACCCCAACTCTTACCAGAAATGAAAAAGACCAAATAATCCTAAATTACCCAAACCTTTAGAAGCCCAAAAACAGAAACTGTAAACAGTATCTAAAAATGAATACTCAATATCTAAGCAGAAATCTCTGGTTATAATGAAACGTACCGGAGAGCATTTTATAGAAATGATAATAAAATCTGAAATTTGTTCCTAGAAATTGTTGTCAAATTTCGTGACAATGATCTATAATATTTTTTTCTACTACTATAAGAAGAATTCCCACATGACATCAAGATCAACAAAATCATGAATAAATCAGCTTAGGTGTTCACAATATTTTTTTTTCTTTCTTTCAAAAAAGTTCAAGTTTCAAACATAAATACCTGGTGCTTGGCCAGCTTTTTGTTGGTGCCAACAGCAGCAGCCGAGCCCTGGAACGGGTCGCAGCCAAAGTAGTAAAACTGGTCCTGTCCCGCACTGGGCAGGGATTTCGGGCCAGCTGCCGCCGACGCCGCCCTCTTGGCCTTCCTGCTCCCGCTACTGGTGCCATTGCTGCTGCTGCTGGGGCCAGCACTGGTGCTCTGACTCCTCCTGGCCCGTTTCAGCTTCTTCATTCCCTGATGGTCGCCTCCTTCTTCTTCTTCTTCTTCTTCTTCCTCTTCTTCTTGTTCCTGTTGCCTGGGGAATCTGTGATGATGAGGCACTTGACGAAGGTCCGAGGGTTTCAAGACCTTCGTCATGGTTGTGACTGGGGATTTGGCCAGGGTCCAGTTGCTGCTGCTGGAGGATGCTGAAGGTGGTGGGCGCAAGTGGTGGGTGTGGTGGTGCTGGTGGTGCACCTGATGTTGATGATGGTGACTGGAGTTGGTGGATGATGACTTCAGACGGGCTCCTTCCGATGTCGCTGACACTGGCGACGTCGACGGAATTTTCCTGCAAAAAGTTAATTGAGAAAAAATATATATATATATAATACACAAATCGTAAAAATCCACAGACTCGCTCTTTTTTGCTGAATTTATTTTCACTGGAACTGTATAACAAAGATTTGCATTAAAAGGACGTACATTATACGTGGATCTGGTGCCCGACTTCAAAAGTGTTAAAATTTAATTTTAAAATGATCAATCTCTGGGTTGGGATTATTATACCTTGCTTGTCTTATTGGAAACATTTAGTGGGTCTTGATATGAGGACTTACAGCACTGTAATTATATCTCAGTGGCTGTATGCAAACATGTCAGATTTCCAGCTTTATTTTGTGGAGTGTGTTCTTTTTTGTTTTTGTCATCAATTTGTGCTTTGTTTCCTGCTTTGAAGTGATTGGATGTCTTTGAGAGGATTTGGGTTGGGTGGGAAGGGGTTTGGATGTGGGAGTACGCTGAAAAGCGGCAAATAAAGTATTCTGTTCATTCATTCATTCTCAGACTTTGTCCATATGTTGTAAAATATGTAAGTCAAAACATATTTTCACCATGCTGGATTTGAAGAAGAACATTTTCAACCACGAACTTCTCATTTTTGGCAAAATACAGCATGTCAAAAAGTCCTACAAAAATTACTTGATCTTTTTTGCTCTTACCTTTAAAAATCATAAAAAATAAATGCAAAAGAAAACCACACAGAAACTTGTCTGCATGGCATGTGAAAGGAAGTTAAAAAGGCAAAGAAATACACTCATACTTCAGAGTATTTATGTACTAAATACATAGTTGACAGAAAGAAAAAAACCATGAAAATTGAAAGGCAAAACTATCCTCTTCTGAAAAAAAAATCAAGAGAACAATTATCATACAGTTTCTTTTGACTTCAGGTTCATGGTAAGAGTTCATTCTGTACCAGAGACATCAAAATCTTGAAGTTGCTTTTTTATCCTTGTTCTGGCTCTTTTTTTTGGCAAAGTTTCTAATTCTGGAGATGCTGGAGACATGAGGGATTTTGAAAAAGAGAGTACAATAAATTTGTTTCAGCAGCAGGAAGAAGTGGAAAAGAAAAGGAATATCATAACTTAACTTCATTTTTTTGTTGAAGTGCCCTCCTTCAGAAAAGAAACAGATACGACAAAATGCTAGGCAAGTTAAAATGTTCATTGAGTCATCAGGTCTGCTTCCCAGATTTTCAAGCCATGACAAACTTTGATTTTGAATGCAGTCCTCCCAAAATGTCCACCCTCTTGCTGGGTCTTAAATTGGTACCATAAATTTCCCAGTCAATATTTCTTGCTCTTCTACAGAATTGAGGTTGGAATTACTAAACTGATATTATTCCTATTTCATTTTGACTTTTATTTCAACATTTGTTTTTCTATTTTTGAAAATGTATTCCTTCATGGTTCTCTCAATCTGCTTCAAACTGGAGAAAGTTGGGCTTAGTGCTGAAGAAATGCAGAGTAAATGCATTGTGTGAAAGATTGACTAAGATGTCCAAATACACTTAGTGAATGAATTTTGTGTGTAAAATTGTTGACTCCACCTGCCTTCTCTGGCATCCTTATTAGGCTCCTGTCTTCACCAAAGATCCTTTTGAGTTTCCCTTCCAATTTTTTTTTCAATAATTTTTCTAGGATTTCAGGCTCAGTAAAAATTTTGGGTAAACATTGTATTCATTTTCACATACACTTTTGAAGTTCTGGGACCAATTAAAATTATTCCTGCACTTCCTTAACCATTGGATGGCAGTAGGTGAAATTCCATCCTGTGGCAGTGGTTGGGGGATATTTTTGCACACTAGTGCATTTTGGTTTGAAGCAAGGTCACCAAAATGCAGCTTTAGCTGAGTAGCCGAAGTCCAGAAATATCTGGGAAAGGGAAACCCATTGTTCTTGAAATCCTTCAACGCTAATCCTATGGCAGGAATGCAGAAAAATGCCCCACAAACAGTGGAATTTCTTCTTTCTTTGATGAAGATTTTCCTGTAGAAATGCCAAAAAATTTGGGATTTTCCCCAACTTTGGTTCTTATAATCATTTGTGTTTCCTAATATTTTTTTTTTAATTCTGTGTGGCATGAAATGTTGCGGGAAAAATCCTGGCATTGCTGCTCAAGGGTTACAGGAAAACTTGACTTGGTTAAAAAACTATTTGGTTGATAATAAACCTTGCTCAGGAATGGATTAAGTTCATAAACCAAGACCCCACTGCATACACTATAACTATAGATCCCTTTTTTTTTCTCTCATCAAACAACTCACAGGTTGTCCAAAGGCAATGAGAAGCTACTGGCAGCAGCTGTGGAAGGACTGCTGCTTATTCCTCCACCTCCACCAACTTGGTCCCCAGCAGCAACAGCAGCAGCAGGCTTCTTATTCAGGCGGTGCAACACCCCAACACCACCACCAGCCTCATCTACTGCTGCTGTCACATGAAGATTCTGATAAGTAGGCTCTTCCTCTTCATGATTCTCCACATCATCATCATCATCATCATCATTTCTGGTCTTCTTGCTGCTGGTCCCATCAGCAGGTGGGGCTGGCCTATTTGTCCCATGGATCAAGTCCCCGGCACTCTGCGAAAGCAACTCCCTGAAGGACTTTTCTCGCTTCAAGCCAGACTTATTCGGGTCTCTCGTCTTTTCTGGCTCTTGCGCCACCTGCTGCTGCTGCTGCTGCTGAATATCACTCTTGTTTATGATGGGACTGAGGGGTGTCGATGAGTTGGATTTGCTGCCGACGAGGCCACTGGGCTTGACAGGAGGCGGCGGGGGCGCCCTGGATTTCCCAGCTACAACCGACACCGCCGCCGGCGTCGTCGTCGTCGTCAACGACATTTCCCGACGCTTGGGCGTGGATGCCTGCAGTGGCGGCGGCAGATCGTGGCTGCTGGTGGCGTCTGATGCTGACGGCAATATGAGCGGCGGCAGAGACGTGGAATCTGGTCGGGAGGTTGTCGTGCTGTCGCTGTCGTATTCGTGCAAGACCTGGTCGAGGAAATCCAGCGACCTCCGCACGTCATCAGAACTGAAACAGAATGGCCGGAAAATAAATTTCTAATGCCTGAATTCGGAGAGAGAAAAAAAAATCGGCAGCAGCGACATCTAGGCAAAGATACAACAAATGCTCCGACGCGGGTGGAATTCTTCTCCCCCAAGATAGCGTCCTCATCCAAATAAATTACAGCAAAATATTGTTGCCACAAACTGTTAAGGACTTCGGAAATTTTTTTTGAATAAAAAATAATTTATTAATGGGAAATTTTCAAATTATTGACTGCTGGGAAGATTTTTTAATATTAGACCAGTATATACAGTATATTTGACATCTTCCTTTTTTTTGGCTTCTTCAGATGTTCTTCAGTGTTCAAGTTTTCAGATGTTTTTCAACTTACATGTTACTAAAAAACATTTACTCTGAATATCAGGTGATCACTGATACTTTTTGTTGACTTAAAGTTTTTCTAAGAAATTTCTGCGCAGATTTGTAAGGGTGAATTTTCCAGAAGAGCATATAATGTTTACATAAGTAGGGTTTCTCAATGATACAAACCTGTTTTAAAATTAATTTTTCTGGGTTCATTTTTTTTCATCCAACCTCGCCCCCCCCCATCTTTTCTAACCCAGTAAAAAATTATTTGAAAGAGGGCATCTTCAGGTGAATTTTTAAGAATTTTACACTTGATTCCACCTTATGCCCCAAAAACCAGTTACAGTCACATTTTGAATGGGAAATGTGAGTTTGTGCCTGCCTTCATTTGGGATTTTTCATTAAGACATCAAAACATGTTCCTAAAAATTTATTTTACACAGTATTTTACTGAAATTGGCAAGTTTGCTGTATTAACATTTTTATCCTGTAACATGTAGCCTATAGGATTTCTGCCAGGTCTTGGTACTCTTGGAAAAATGTTTGTTATGATGAAAAATTTGTTGTAATAATATTTTTTCTAATGTGATTTTACTGTAATGCACATACTGTACAGTTAAATCTTGTTACAACGAATTTGTGGGTATTTGAGAAGATTTTTTTATTGTGTATAATGGCGCGAATTTTCTGAGGCACTTCTGCAGAACCAAGCATATCGAATTTAATCGCCAGCCTTGAGCTGACGGAAAGTAATTTTTCATGTCACTCTTCTCAACGTTTCAAACTTAATCTTCAAAGAGGAAAACGCCAAACGGCGCCTTTAGAATTTGAAAGTAATAAACAGAGACGAGTTTTGGCAATTTGCCAAAACTTGTCCTTGGATCCTTCCGTGAGAATCGGGTTACTCACCCACTCTCACAAGAACCAAAGAAACGGACCTTTAGTCCTTGAAATCAAATTAACCATCAAATACCAGTAACTTCACCCCAACGGCGGAAGCTGTAATCTAACCCAAAAATCTCTGTGGAAAACTTCCACAAGAAACCCTTTTTTCCTGAGGAAATGTCTCAGGATTTCAAATCACTATCCCTCGAACCCTCGTACTGTGCAGAACATACAAAGTACTGGCGAACTTATCAAGACTGTTGAAAAACTTGTGCATTGTGTGTTGGAAAAAACTTCGGCATGCCGACAATTCGGCGCCAG